GACACTGCCACCCCCTGTTCCTACTTCCTTGCCACCTTCAACCACAAGGGCCAAGCCCTCCCCCCTCAGCACTCCCGACACCGTATCGAACAGAATATTGCAAGCCCAGCACAAAGTGGGCAAGGCGATTAACAAGATACAACTTGAAAAGTTCATGGAGTCTCTGGAGCACCTCCCCCAGGAGGCGGTACCACCCACGCGGGACAACCCCTACGGAGGTCAAGAGGCCAGGAACATGGCATACGCACGAACGAGAAGCTCGCAAGGGCAAGGGGGGCACGCGTTCCTGAGAGCGGCTCCCACCGACCGAGCTCGAGAGATTCCATCGAACGAATTCGTCTACGCGACGAGACGCGCCTTGGGAGTTGAAGAATTCTTGGCGGAAAGATGTCCCAGGTGCCACAGAGGCAGGGAAGGCGAGATCATCACAACGGTGCACGCAAGGACCTGTCGAAGGGATGGAGCACAGGTCAACATGCACGAGCCGTTAAAATACGCACTATCGAGAGCACTCAACGGCCTTCGCGTCAAACACGACGTTGAAAGCGGGGCACCGTTCACGGGGGAAAGAAACCTGAGCATGGACATCGTCATCAGGCCAGGAGCCCTCACGAACGCATCTTCTCCGGGGTACCGCAACAAAGGAATACTCCTCGATGTCACACACGCAGACCCGCAAGCACAGGTACACTTGCGGAACGGCAGCGCGACCAGCGATGGAATCGCAGCCCAAGCATCCGAGGCGCGAAAGCGTCAGCACTACGCTCGTCCGGGACACGTGTCCTTTGACGAACGCAGCTTTAAACTTACCACCTTAGCCGTGGAAAGCTTTGGCCGCCTTGGAGAGGAGGGTTACGAGTTCATCGATGAACTTGCGACACATGCCGTGGGAGGAAGGGACGGAGGAACGATGGCTCTGAAAGGAGTCTTCAAGGAACGACTTCTTCAGATCGTTTCGGTGGCTACACAGGTGGCCATATCTCGGCGAGTGCAGAGGTACAAGCTCGCATTGCGCGGGCGTCAAGACGCCGAAAACAGGCGAACAAGATCGACCTCGGACCAGTCAACGCCAATGATATGGGGATGGAGTGTAGACGCATCGTAGAACGCGTTTTCGTTTGAAGTTGGCGTCTTGTTTGAGAGTAGATGTGACAGATTTGCGTAGAATAGGGTAAGATGTTATCATGAACGGAGATGAAAGGGCTTTTCCAACACGGAGATGTAGCATGGATCAAAGAATTTGTTGGATTTCAGCTTTTACAAGCGGACATCAACGCAGTAGTATTTTAGCAAGCTTACGAACGCATATAGGATACCATCAGGATTGTCATTGGTAAGTTGAAGAGGAGATACTTTTACGATGTAAATGACAGTAGAAATAAGTCCTACATATGTTGTTGTACTTCGTATTGGTTCAATATGCATGTAGAGTATGAGACATTAAGTGAAAGTTTTCTGAGGTACATCTGCAATTAATTGTCGGAAGGCAAAAATAAATAAATAAATATTGTAAGGCACTTGATGTTGTTTGCGTATTCTTTTTTGCTTTGATTTGGTGTTGTGCAATCTGTTGTTTTTGCGTTTGGTCTCCAATTCACACTATAACTGCTGCACGGTTTTTTCTGTTTTGTTCTTTTTGCCTTCCGACAATTGCAGATGTGCCTCAGAAAACTTTCACGTAAAGTCTCATACTCTACATGAATATTTAGCCAATACGAAGTACAACAGCATGTGTAGGACTTATTTCTACTGTCACATCGTAAAAATATCTCCTCGTCGACTTGAAAAAAAAACAGTGACAATCCTCATGGTATTCTATGTGCGCTCGTAAGCTTGCTAAAATACTACTGCGTTGATGTCCTCTTCGAGATGTCCACTCGCGTTTTACCTTGCAGGGACACTAATTTCCACGGCCAAATGGCAGGAAATTTCCATGGTACATTATTGATGATTTTCTGGGAGGCGAATAGAATGTTGCGGCCGGGGGGCTGTTGTTTGCCAGGAAAATATCTCAAATGGCGGTGGGAGTATTATTTTTGCGTATGGTTTGTTCCCATTGGTTTTTCCTTGTTTGCTGGGTTTACATTCTCTAGATGTATGGTAGTTACCGCTATGTTTTTTTGGTGGTGCTGGACATACATACATACATACGTAAGCGTTGGCTTGGCGTGCGACGTACTGGGTAAAGACGTTGGGGGTCACGCACCGTTTCTCTGTCCCTCCGATACCCGACGAGTCAATCGTTGCGGAGTACCAATTTTCCTTCCCAAGTAGGCCTGTCCAGCAGATCAGACTGGTATGTGCTGGACATGTGAGGTCTTTTATCTTTGATGTCGGTTGGTTTCTTGTTGCGGCTTGGAGTTTTATCCATGATGGAGTTGGAATGCAGAATTCGCATGCTTGATTTTGTGGAATCTGCCTGATTGTTGCAGTGCTGCAAGAAACCATGGGGGGGAGATGTGATAACATGCGGCCCGCCGCAGCACAAAAGCAGTATTTCTGACATTGGATTTGGTAGTTCACGTTTGTTTGGATTTTCCGCGTTTTCCCTGCGGAGTTTATATGTTGACTAATGGGATTCGGGCAGTTCATTTTTGGATCATTTTCCGCGTTTTTCCTGCGGAGTTGGTATGGAATTGAATATTGACTGGGACTTTAGCTGCGTTATTACGAGGCGTCCCAGCAGGGGGGCTGTTGGATGAATAGCTGAGATGGAGGAATCGAAGCCGCATTGTTTCTGAACACGTTTGTTTGAGATGACTTGATCGGTGTGTTTGCGGACTTTGCTTTTGTACTGGTATGTCTGTGTATTGGAGGAAGGGTTTGGCGATGAGTCATGGTTGAAGCGTTTGTGCTTCCGAAAGTTATTTGAACTGGTCATTAGTTTGTAAAATGAAATCTATCTGAGGAACTTGTTCTGAGTAGTTGGGGCACGTTTTCCCGGAATTACTCGTCTCACGCTTTCCCTTGCGGGTGTTGCTTCCGTTCTTTTGTTTTGTTGTGAACACGGTAGAGCTTTCCGTGGCTTGCCTTTTTGTGCGCCCTGAGATGTCTCGCCCGATGTTCGTTCGCGCACTTTTTTGTGTTGCTTTTCGCACGCTGTGGCTTGCTGCTGTTGCTTCCTTTTTTGTGCGCCCTAGAATCTTTCGCCCGGTGTTCGAGCTATCTTCTTCTCCCACAAATTCTCCTTTGTTTTTGTCATGGTTTTTTATTTCGCACCTTCTCATTCTGTTCTCTTCTGTTCTTCGTTCTTCGCTCTCTCTCCCCGTTGTTCAACCTTTTTTGTCTATAGAAACACGCACGCGTTTTTCCAGGACTGCCTGGGTAAAAGGGCGCTCGACCCCGTCACCGGGAAGAGCGTCATCGTGGACTGCACGCCAACCAGCGGCCCCGTCGTCGGGGTAAGTTATTATTCCTTTAGGCAACCGCTTCCATCGTCGTTTCCGTCATCAATCGTATTGCTTCCAGCTTTTATCACATCTTAGTGTTAGGTCAGGGTTAGCGGTCACCACTATTGTTGTTTCGTCCACGTTGCGTTGCTAAAGGATGTACCACTAATTTTTTCTTCATGAACTTATTGATTGTCGTCACCTGCCATGCCTGTCTGTCTGTTTCACCTCCTCCTCCCTCTCCTACTTCTTCTTAACCAGGAAAACTGCAAAGCGTATAGCGCAAACGAGATCGCCGACGACTTCAAGGACGGGTGTACGGGCCCCATCGAAGCGGGGTCAGCCATTGTCAGGTCCTGGGCCCTCCAGGACCCTCCCCAAGGACTGCACGCCCGCTGCGCAAAGCGCAAACACGAGCAGCTGGTGCGCTACGTTTCTTTCTTTGCCTTTTCAGCTTCTCCAGCATTGTTGCTGTCATGTTTTTTTTGTCTTTTTTGCCGTTTCTTTTTTGCTTTTTTTTTCTCGAGTGTTGCTGTGATGTTTTTTTGTTCTAATCCTGTTAGTGTATTCAATTTATTTATTTATTTTTGCCTTCCGACAATTAATTGCAGATGTACCTCAGAAAACTTTCACTTAATGTCTCATACTCGACATGAATATTAAACCAATACGAAGTACAACAACATATGTAGGACTTATTTCTACTGTCATTTACATCGTAAAAGTATCTCCTCTTCAACTTACCAATGACAATCCTGATGGTATCCTATATGCGTTCGTAAGCTTGCTAAAATACTACTGCGTTGATGTCCGCTTGTAAAAGCTGAAATCCAACAAATGCTTTGATCCATGCTACATCTCCGTGTTGGAAAAGCCCTTTCATCTCCGTTCATGATAACATCTTACCCTATTCTACGCAAATCTGTCACATCTACTCTCAAACAAGACGCCAACTTCAAACGAAAACGCGTTCTACGATGCATTCAATTCATTCACGCGTTTCAATTTTTAGCCTGTTCCTCCCGGTTCCTACTCACTCCCGAGATTATTTTTTTAGCTCCTTCTGTCGTTGCCTACGCTTCGGTTTTCTCTCCTCTTACATATACTAACCGTGAACTACTCTTGCCCTCTATTCTTAACTTCTCACGTTGCCGGAAAAAAAAGGTAAAGAAAATCCTCGCCAAGAAGCAGTTCCGCAAGGTCTCCGGTGCCGCCTACGAGGAGGTGTTAAAGGCCCCGTCCGTTGAGGTCACCGCCGACCTCGAAGACTTCTGAGCGGTGAGCCACTGACTCCCGTTTTTTGGTGAACCTTAAGGCCTTGCCAGCCACCTATTACGAGCGTGTTGCTCCTTACTACCCTTCCAGGCATTAGCCTCCTCTTTCCATATGCCATTGCTTCCTATGGCTAACAGGAACATTCCAACAAATAACCGCCGTGTGACTCGTTCTCAACCTGCATCCGCTCGCCGTGAAGAATGCGGCAATCGTCACGCCGCACAACGGCGTGCAGCTCGACGTGCTATTCTAAATCAACGCCGACGAAGACATGCCGATAACTCCTCCTGCAATGATTCAGCCTCTGCAATAGTCCGTAACCATTTCGCTCGTATGCGCTCTTCTCCTAGACATCCCACACCTTTTCGTCAGGATCCTGTTTTCAAAGGTATCCGTTCATTCAACGCGCCCATAGCCGAAGAAGTTGCTACAACCTTTGAATACCCAGACCTCGACGACGAACGCAACTATGTCTGTCCTCATTGTGGTTCCATGCTGTGGAAAGAAGAAAGAGCCAACCGATTTAATGGCTGCGGTAACGGAGAATATGCAATTCACAAATTGAAAGATGTTCCCATCAATGTCTTAGATATTTACAACACCGGACACTTAAGTCGCAACCAAAGAAAATACAATAGCCTGTTCTTTACCGCTCTCGCTGCCAACGGATTGGAAAAGCGCACCTGGACCAACGCCATCGGCGGATCAATGTTAACCTTGCACGGGCGATGGTACCATCGTATCTTTGACTTGCAACAACACTACGCAGGATTGAATGTGGCTAACTGTTCCCGCTATTATTTTAATGACTCAGAGTTTCATTTGCAGTCTCGCGCCCTTGATGTAAACCCTGACACAGCAGCCTCCCTACGTTCGTACTTCCACAGCAGTCTCAAGAGTAACGTGGATGAGGTGCTGCGAAGTAACACAACTTCCTCACAGCCTGCTGTGATAGAGTTCGCGGAGGCAAGCAGAGCTGACGATGAGCACGTACTTGGACCACCTCAAGCTCCTGAAATCGCCGCAATACTGTACCCTTCCAAAAACAATGATCCTCCAGTCAGCCAATTATTACCTACACAAGAAACAGCCCTGACAATCAGCCTCGTTTCTCAAACCTCTATTCTCCTTGCTACGAACCGTTACAGTTCCCATGTTTGTTCAACAATGGTGAAAGCGGCTGGAGCAACGGACATCACAGCGAGACCCCTCCCTTCAAATCACGCACAATGAACCGTGCTGGTACCAAACATGTACAGTTCTATTTTACTGTCGCCAGCGTTCCTCTCTGAACCAATCTTTGACGTAATAGCCGAATAGCACAGGAATGGTGTTGCGACATGTTTTCGCGTTTCGAAGAGAATAAACAAACTTATTTCGAGTCTGATCACTTGCAAAGAAAGATACGCCTTGCTTCTAAGCGATCCATCACCGACTCCACCCCAGGTAGCCAGCCAGGGAAGCTCCTACCCGCTAACTTCCACGGATCGCCCTTAAAGCACAAAAGCGACACCAAAGACGCACTCAGTGTTGGTACTCGTCGCGGTCGTCCTCAGCTATTTATTACCATCACATGCAACCCCGAGTGGCCTGAAATTGACGCTAACCTATTGCCGGACCAAACCGCTGCAGATCGTCCAGACCTTTGCTGTAGAGTTTTCA